CAAAGAGGTTGTATTGCAGAACCTACAAATTAGTACTAATTCTGCTACAATGCGTTCCCGTACTCCAAAAACTAGCTCTCGAGAAAAAAAAATGGCGATGAGTGGTGCCCATTTCTGCTTGTTTTAGCTACATGTATATTTTTTTTTTTTTTTTTTTTGGATTTCGAAACAATGGCCACAAACGATACTATAGTACAACAAAAATGTTAGGTAGACCCATGGTACAATGACTTCAAAGTAGGGCAAATTCGGGTGTTTTCAAAATGCTTATTGCAACGAATGCATCGACAAAATATACAGTTTTTCTCGCGAAATAAACCATAAGAGATATATAGAACATGATTTTGAAAAGAAATTTTGACATTTCATTCAGTTTTCGCGGTTTTAAATTATTTATTCAAAATCAATTCAACAAGTTGTTTGCTTTTTTTATTGTTTTGATAGTAATTCTGACATTACAAGCCAAACAGGTAGACCTTTATACTTGCAATTTTTTCAAAGTTAGCCTACCTTGTCTTCATTGTACCATTTTTTAAACGTACATTGCTGGACACCCATTAAAGATAATCGCCATGGATTTAAAAAAGCAAACTGTTTAGATCATATTTTTGAAAGAAATTCCAGGCATTTAATTCCTTTTTTCTCTACATTGCTGTAGTGTGGTGAAATTTTATATCAAAACAAGTGAATACATTTTGTATGTCAAAACATGGAATTAAACGGAATCCCATGTTAATAATTATTATGATATGTTCTCATTTCACTTTCAATCACGTTATTCGCTCTCAGAATAAGGTACACGAAGTAACCCGTTCATACGGCAGGATTCGTCGTCTCGTAAGTCATAGTAAAATAATTCCTTTTTCAAAAATTTTGTTTGTTGATTTTAATGGGAATTTATACGAAAATACATGAAATTCTCAATAAAATGGATAGAAGGAATTATTGTTTTTCTCCGAAAAAATCCTTATATCATTAATTTTGCAGTTTTCATTAATGTTGTTTAAAATACATGAAATTGTCACTAAAATGAATAGAAGAAATTATTGTTTTTCTCCGAAAGATTCCTTATATCATTAGTTTTGAAATTTTCATTAATGTTTACAACTTTTTGTATGCATGTTGAGATTTTGAACATATTTTTTGTATTTTTCTATTTTTAAATTCTGCTGGAGAGACACTTGTCAAGCAATTTTTCGTCCATACGAACATTTTAAAAATATTGCCTTTTTTGTTGGCAGTTTTCTGTGAAAATCTCAACTCGTGGACAAAATGCGCACCTCGGATGAGAGAGAAAACAAAATGTACCTTCGTTTGAATGTACATACGTCATTCAACATTGTTGTTTTTATTCAAAATTTTCAGTCCTCTCAAAAATTTTAAAATTTTTTCTATTTTTCATCTTAATTCTGAGAACAAGGAACAAAAATATTTGTTTGCTCAGCAAATTTTAGTTGTGTTCCAGAACCTGCAAATTAGTACTAATTAGCACTAATTCTGCTACAACGCGTTCGCGTACTCCAAAAACTAGCAAAACTTGCAGCTCTCTCGAGAAAAAAATGGCGCTGAGTGGTGCACATTTCTGCTTGTTTTAGCTACATGAATTTGGCCGAGCAGAAATGTGCATATTGTAAATTTGACATTTAATTGGCAGGGCTAACAAGGTTGAAAAATGTATTGATACATTTCAATAAAGAAAATGATCAACTTGAAAACTAAAGGAAAAACTAATATTTGTCGTGCAAAAAACAGAAAGAGAAAATATGGAGCAACTGATGTATTCACTTTTGGATGATTCCAGCAGTGAAGAGGACTGGCTGAATGAGGATTAAGATTATTAAATATTATTATAAATTATTAATTTTAACTTATCGTCTTCAATACTCATTTTTTAAATGTTGGCGCTCTTTTCAGTAAGGTTTCACCAGTCCGATTTAGGCTGTTTACTTTTGGAATTTTGACATTTTATCGCATTTCTGCTAATTTTCCGTTCCCTTATTTTTTGAACAAACCTAAATGAGAATGACATTTCGAACTGTTCTCTCTTCTGCTAGTTTTACTACTAAAAAAGTACTGGAACACAACTTTTGTTTGGGGAAATAAGTAGATATTTCTTAACTAATGGTCGTACAAGGAATAGAGAGAGAATCACGTGCCATTTGAACTTAGCATTACAGTTAGCAGCAAACATGGTAGAATAATATAGGTGGGTGCATAGACACAGCTGCTGGGACAATGAACTGTCAAACCAATTTTGGGATTGAAAATGTTGAATGAAAAATGATGACAGCAAACATGGTAGAAAAATACAAATAGATGCATCAACGCTTAGGAACATTGATATGTCAAAAATTTTTAAATGTCTTTTCAAATATAGGTAGATTTTTATTTGTTATCTTATACCACGTCATTCGGAGGTTATTATAATACGCGTTTTTCAACAATTTTTACAAATTTAAATAATTTTTCATTCAACATTTTCAATTCTCATTGTCCCAGCAGCTGTGTCGATGCGTCTATCTATATTCTTCTACAATGGCAGCGAACCCAAGTGGATTTTAGGGTGGAAATACATAAAGCGCATATTTGCCTGGCTTAAGTCATCGGCTGGCTTCTTCGTAGATGAACAAAGAAGTATTAGGTTGACTTAGTTCGATTTTGTCCCTAGGCTCCTTTTTTGATTTCCTAAGAAACCAGTCGATGACTTAAGAAAGCAATATAAGCGCTTTATGTATTTCCACCCTTACTCCATAGCAATACAAATGTCACGTTCTGTGATTATGATTCCATTTTTAGATATACAAAAGGTACATGAACAAAGAATTATTAGGTTGATTTAGTTCGATTTTGTCCCTAGGCTCCTTTGTTGATTTCCTAAGAAGCCAGTCGATGACTTAAGCCAGCAAAATAAGCGCTTTATGTATTTCCACCCTTACTCTATAGCAATACAAATGTCATGTTCTGTGATTTAATTCCATTTTTAGATATACAAAAGGTATATAGTTTTTTGATATAAAATTTCACTGGCGTTTAATGTGAACATATTTTGTCTTATACTAGAAACAAAACACCAGCAGCGATGGTTCGCAGTAAAGGAACAGTACGTTTTCCACGATTTTCTAGCGGTTGCTTGAAGTGTTGAAAGATTTGGAACTAAGGGAGCAAGTACATAAGAAGCTTGAAGTCATGGCTGGGCATATTTTGTGACATTTCATAAAGGAATTACAAAACCGCACTAAAATCCTGCCGTCGTTTTCCTTTATAATTTGACATTAATATGCCTAGCCATGACTTCAAGCTTTTTATGTACTTGCCCCTTAAAGCTAACAACTATATATTTAAGGGAATAATCATGGTAGAATTAAGAAGGTAAAGTCATGCAAACATATATTTACAGTTTATTTCAATTTTATTCATTTGACAACGTCTCATTGTCAAAATGATTATTTACAAATCCATTATACATACACAAATCAGAGATGGGAACTTGCTTTCTTTGCAGTGAAATTTGACAAGGTAAATTACAGAAAATGCAAAGATGGGAATGCTTATTTGAATAGACTTTACCTTCTTAATTTTACCATGGGAATAATGTGAAAACATTAAAATTAAATATTTAAGAACTATTCTTCGACATTTTAATCTAAAAATACAAATTCCAAAAATTTAATGTTTTTAAATTAAAATAACTTATTAAAAATTAATTGTTTTGTTTACATTCTTGGTCATATAACACTGAGACTTTTAATCCGGACAAAAACAAATGTGTATGCGGTTGTTGTTACCCGTATTATTCTACCAAGACGGGATCCATGTAAAAACCTGCAAGCAATCAGCTGATTTACACAAATAAAACAGTTTATTCGCCGTATAAAGAAACAAAGCACGTTAAAACTTTGCATTTTTCTAAGAATAAAATATGTAAGCCTTATTCTCATTGTTCAGGCTTGCAAACTAAACATAAAATAAAAAAAACAAACACAATTTCTCTCTGTGATCGCTTTTTTACAGAATTTTTGGTTAACAGACGACTGTCAGTAATAATTTGCAACAATTGTTACAAATTTTAGGGTAACATGATAGTAAAATATTTACTATATAGCCAAATCTGCTGGTTTTTGCTGGTACCTGTTATAATTTGTACTATGGTATGTGATGTAGAATAGTGACCATGGTCCAAGCAGAAGGTCCCCGCTCCAAGACAACTTACTAACAAATTTAATGCCAAATGCATTATTGTAATTGAAATCACATGGCAAAATATAAACAAATACCAAACAAAGTGTAAACAAATTTTGACATATCTTGTTTTAAATAATTTGCGGCAACACCTTATTATTGCGCCATGATTGCGACTTTTCATTAAGCTGCCCTCAGACACACCAACAGTTGGCCCAACTTGTGACAAGTTGGTACAACTATTGGTGCGTCTGAGGGCTAGTTGTACGACTTTTTCGAAAGTTGGTTAAAGTTGGTTGGAAATATCAAAAATTTTTGATAATTTCGCAAGTTGGGCCAACTGTTGGTGCGTGCGAGGGCAAGTTGTACCAACTTCCGTGTTTTCTTCATTTATGTCTTGACTTTGGTGAAGCAGCACATACATAAGCTGAGCGCTGAGCGCAAGAAGAGAAACTAAAACAAAACAAGAAAAAAAAACTAAAATAAAACATAAATAAAAATGAGTCATTGCGAAGAGGAAGCGTCAATGCGCGATTTTATAGAGGAATATAATTTTTCTGTTTATGAACCCACTGCTTTGACCACAATTTTTTCTTCAGCTTTTTCTTTCTCTGCAGTTGTCTTTCTTCTTCTTCCTCTAAAATTATATCAATTCCAAGTAGCGCAAGAGCATCCGAGTTCATGTTGACGCTTCAAAAATACTTTGTAAATGAAAAGTTGGTACAACAGTTGTATGAAAAGTTGGTACGTGCGAGGAGACCGACCAACTTTTTCATACAACTTACAAGTGACAAGTTGGGCCAACTGTTGGTGTGTCTGAGGGCAGCTTTAGACTGAATTAAACAAAAATTTGGCAACAATTTATTTTATTTGACTTACGGTAACCCTTAAAAGCGCGTCTGTTCAATAATATTCGAAGTGCTTAGCTTCAACAAGGCTATTTATTAATTTAGCGCGTTATAACGGTAATTTGACACCCAGAAGGCGTCATAGCTTCTTTCGTTAAAAAGAAATTGTAAAGATTGTAGGAAGAAATACAGTTTCATCAATCTTTGCGGGTGATTTTTTCAAAGTTCTAAAAAATTTCTTGGTAAGCGAATATAATGGATAAGCCGTCTGGAAGCGCTGGTCGTTCCCGTGGACGAGCCAATGCAAGCCAAGCACAATCTGGTGGTGAAGGTATGGCACGCGGTAGGCGTCCCCAACAATCCGTAAGTATAAATTCCAAGTTAATAATCGGTAATATAGTCTATATATTTAAAGAAATATTGGTGTCGTTAACTGGAATGCAACAAGTTGCATTTTCGGCGTGCATTTGAAGAGAACCAAAATAAATTCCATTTCACCCATACAAAACGTAAAGCATCATGTTCCCAAAGTATGTAAGAAAAATAAGCGCCACTCAAGCCAATGACTTAGCATTGAAATTGTATTTATCTGTGAGCAAATAGCACCAATTGCGCCCTAGACGTCGTATTCGCAATTAATCTAGGTTTAACTCACAAAAAAAAAAAAAAAAAAAAAAAACATTACATTGTTTCCCAAGCCTATGGAACATTTAATAGGCGACAATATGGGTCTTGTCATATGAGTGGATCATATTGACCCGAGCGGTGATATAAAAACCTTAAAAGTTTTTTTTTTTTGTAATTTTTATGTAGCCGGTTTTTGGTCAGTGTCCCAGGTGTTTTAATTTGGAATGTGCGCAACACCTACTTATCGAACAAAAGTTTTTAGATTATTTACGTCTGAAATATGTCCAATACCGTTACGAGATCCGAAGTGCTTCTAAATTGTATACTCTCCTAGAAGGTAGGAGCAAACCCTAGTTTATTTCATTTAATTATAATGTCAATAATTTCTTTGTTGAAAAATTGATGATAATAAAACTAGTTTATTTAGTTTTTCCTTTAATCATTCGTTAGATTTTACACATTTCTGCAGTAGTTTTCATTATAAATATATATATATATATATATATATATATATATATATATATATATATATATATATATATATATATATATATATATATATATATATATATATATATATATATATATATATATATATATATATATATATATATATATATATATATATATATATATATATATATATATATATATATATATATATATATATATATATATATATATATATATATATTTTTTGTTTCCATTATAAATATATATCCCCATACTTTTATTTAAAATGAGGAAAAGTTTGGCCAATTTTATGGGCATACACAGTCTAAAGTGGAACTCGTTTTAATATTGAATCCCGATTTTATTTATAATGGATATAGGACAACGTTTTTACATTTTTATATTCAATTAAAAAGACCACCGGTTATTTTTTCGTCATTAACAATGCGAATGTATTGCTAAGACTTGACGCTCTATATAAATTTACCAACCTTTCCCACTATGGTCAATTGTTTTTGTACGGTCGTACTACCCATATACGCAAGGTCCTTCCGTTACCGTTACAGAACATGTCGTCGTACAGGTGACAGGATTTCTATGGTGTTCCGAATTTTAACTACCAAACAAACAGTTTATATTAAATATTGAAATGAGCACAATATATCAAATTATAGTCTACAACTTGTCTTTTCAATATGGTGCTATATGTCAATATATATTTTGGTTTTGGTTATTTTGCTTCCAGATATTTGGTAACAAGACCTACATAAGGCCTTGTGTAGGGTAATGAGCGACAAAAATAAAGATTTCAAAATGATCAGAACTACTGGTAATGTAGAATGTAGTTTATTACATTATATATTATACAGCTCCCAAGTCTGAGTTGAATAATCTAAGTTCATAATCTGGGCCAAATAGATTTTCACTTTCCATTAAAAACATAATTATTAATAACTATATTAAATAATATAATAATGAAAGCGTGCAACGAACAAATATTTTAGTGGTTGTTGTTGTTGTTTTAATATTTAGGCTAATATTGCGCAAATTTTCAATGCGAACCTCAAATACGAATATTACTAATTAAAAATAATTACCAAATATAATAACTCATCAAATAATTTGCAATACATATATATATTTTTTTTTCGTCATAAGGTTCATCCTCCAGGTGGCGGACAGCCACCCACAGTAGGCGCAGGTGCCGGTTCATCAGCATGGGGACAGCGTCCAGTAGGTGTCGCTAGGGGAAGTTCTATAATGAAAGCTGCAATGCCAACATCAAATCCTCAACAACGTCCACCAGCACCAGCAGCTTTAGGCCGCGCTACTACACATAGGGATGTCTCTGTTGCAGAAGCTCCAGCGGGAGGTATGTTAATGTGTGCATACTTTGACCGTTTTCTCCCAAACTATTCGATTTGTGTTTAAATAGTCTTAGGATAAACAGTTAAAGTATATACTTCATTATTCATTATGATTGGTTATCGCCAATAGCCGATCGTATCGAATTTACATGATTTGCACATGGTATGTGTTCATAACATCTTCGACGAAGTTTTGCTTACGAGAAGTATTTTTTTTTCGTCGTTTCATAATAAACTGTTTCGTATGCATTTAAATATACTTGATTAAATTATGTCTAGAACTGTGTAGAGGTCACGAAGAACATTCAAAACGTTATTTTATCATTGTTTTTATTCATTTAACGCTTGCCTTATGTTAGATTTCATTTATGGATGCGTAGCTACACGGGATTCGGCAACTACTTCGCTCGGAGACCTTTGGTCCACTGTGTTCATCCTAGGAAAAATAAGTTATTGGTGGTTTAAAAGTTTCATCAGTCGATAGATCAATCGACTGGGAACCTTCTCGAGCTTATTCATCAGCCACGTAGCTTCCCACTATGTTGCTATGTCCTGTAACCCAACAAAGCTTAATCTTAATGAGGGCTTGCAGTCAAGAGTGGCTCTGGATTTAAAGGCACTTGGCTTGATAGTTTCAAAAGCCGACTGACTATCGACATATATAGTCACTGGTTCTGTTATGCATCTTCTGTCTTCTTGATTGCAAGAATCTTCGCCTGAAAAGCGCTGCAATTGTTATTAGGCTTATATAAGTGTTTAATCAATTGGTTGGGGCAGATTATTCTAGCACGGGTGCATACATCCATCTTAAAACCTTCTGTGTAAATGGCCAGACCGTCCAGAGGAGGTTCCCTATTAGGTATTTTAACATCAAGAGTATATTTTGACTTATTGGTATGTCCAGGATTCGTTCATGACACCAATAGGTCATAACTGATAATTTAATTCTTCCTTATGGTGTTCCTACATGAATTGAGCGCAATGAGGCCGTTTCTTGCACGCGCATTGATGTTCTTGTTCCAGTTTAGACGCTGGTCCAAAGCCGTACCAAAAAAATTAGCACACGAGGAAAGATTAAGTGCAACTCCATCCAGTACTGGCAGCGAAAATTAATCTATTTTGCATTTTATTGTAAACAGTTAGGAACACAATCAGACTGCTGTACTAGTGCCCTTTGCATTAGGTTTGAAATAGTTGGATGAAAACGACCACTTATCAGCACCACTGCATTTCGACATAAGTATTTCATTGATCACCAGAAGCCATAACAGGGGAGAGAGAACAATCTCCACTGACTGAACTTTGTCGTAGGCGTTCTGCGATATAAACTTATATTTCTTATTGTCGCTGTTAATGACTCTGGCTCCCATGTAGATTCACCACTCGTCACTGCTCGACTTCGTCGGGAACGTAGATCTACCGGATCTTCTCGTCGATCAGCAGCCGATTATCCTCGCTGATGATGTGAAGTCAGCTGAATAATTTACGTATACAAGACCTATATTTTCACCAATTTTTCGAAAAACATGATCTCAAATTGGCCACATCTGCCATCTGACCACTAAGTTTGGTATCAAAGGCATAACTGTGTTTGCACTTCAAAGAGAGACAATTCAGAATAGTGCAAAAATTACTACGTTTATTGTCAAAAATATTCTCCTTGGCTTACCCTTTATATACATTTGCAACTATTTTTGTTAATATATAAATTGCTGCACAAATTTAAATACATATTGTGGTATTTCTACAATTAATACATAAAGTCTTATTTTCGTTTTTTGGCGTAAGAATATTTAAGCGATTATAAAAACCTATTCTTTAGGTTTTCTCTAAATCGTTTAATGATGGAATATAATTTTCTGTAAAATCTTATATTTTAAGCTGTTGGCAAAGAAGATACCCGTGGCGCTGTACGAGGAAAACGTGTCATAACTGAAATAGTGCATTCTAGGCCACAAGGTCTCGCTACAAAATCCGGTCAAACTGGTGGAAAAGTACCAGTTCAAGCAAATTATTTCCGCATACTCAAGAAACCCAAATGGTCCATTCACCAATATCGTGTCGATTTCAGACCAGACGTAGACATGATTCGTCTTCGCCGTGCGTACTTAGCTAGTCATAAGGAATTATTTGGTGGCTACATATTTGATGGAACTGTCCTCTTTTGCACAAACCACTTCATTGATCCTTCAGATAATGGACAAAAAGAACTCTTAACCAAAAATCGGGAGGGTGAAACTATTCAAATCAAATTGAAACATGTCGGCATTGTTGATGTTACAGATGTACAACTAATACAAGTACTCAACTTAATATTACGAAGATCAATGGAAGGTCTAAAATTGCAACTTGTTGGTCGAAATTTCTTTGATCCAGGTGCCAAGGTAATGTATAGCTTTTGATATCGGAATTTATAAAGGAAATATGGTGATCTTTTATTGCAGATCAATATGGATAGTTACCGTATGGAAATTTGGCCCGGGTATCAAACGTCTATTCGTCAACACGAACAGGACATCCTTCTATGTTGTGAAATTACGCATAAAGTAATGCGTACAGCAACCGTTTACAATATATTAAAAGATTGCCTACGAGATAGTGCAGATTTCCAAACATCGTTTAAACAACAAGTGGTTGGTACGTATATATTGCCATATTTCTAGAAGTATAACTAATATTCAATTGATTCTTAGGAACGATTGTTCTTACTGACTACAATAATAAAACTTACCGTGTGGATGACGTTGATTTTCAATCTTCACCCATGTCGAAGTTTTCAACTAAGGATGGTGAAATTTCTTACATGGAATACTACAAACAGGTACTTAAATAAACTAATTTCATTGACTATTATAATACTTTCGTAAATTTATTTTATTTTTAGCGTTACAATATTCAAATTCGGGACCAAAAACAGCCGATGCTCGTTTCAAGGCCCACTGAGAGAAATATTCGTGGCGGTCAAGATGAATTTATTATGCTTATACCAGAAATTTGTCGTGCTACTGGTATAACTGACGCTATGCGTAATGATTTCAGGTAATTACTATATATTTCTGAGTTTGTTGTCACATTTTTTGAGCTTGCTTAAATTATAATGTTACACATCCTAAAGTTGACCGGGAAGCTATAGTTTGTAACCTCGTTTACTTTAATACAGCTGATTTGAGAATAAGCCGCAATAGTTCTTGAACAGTCTCCCATGTACTACTGACAGTTAGTGTCCTTGACGACTTTTAACTGGGGATGTCATTCATACCGTCCTACTTCCATACACATCGTCATAAGACAACCTGCAACCTATGACCATTGCTGTTCCTGCCTTCAAGTTTTACTTATCAATAATTCGATCTGAATTCCGAGAGCAAATTTCCGCGATCCTATACTAGTCAACCGCTCGAGTCATACATTAACAACTGCAAAAAGTTGTATACAATTTCGGATTTTCTGACATATTCGTTTCGGAATCTTGGGATGTGGCATTTTCTTTCAGCTCGTATTCTAGGACATATATGATACGTTGTTTGTGTCTTCAGGGAATTGAATATTGTGGCTTTGTATAGGTTCGAAATGTTTGTGATGTGCAAATTTTTGCGGAGCGTGTTGGTATTTTCCAATTGAATTGTAGAACGTATGTTTGTTGTGTATGGCGACAGTTTTCGGTTCGAAGTTTGGTCCGCATCATATTAAGATTGATATAAATCTGGTGTTCGTATTTTTGTGAATTATTACTCAAATTATATATGACATATAAGGTCTTATGCAGCTTATTCCTAACATTATCAAAGTGCATTTAAAAGGAAAAAAAAAATCTAGGTATTTATCATGATCAACAACCTAAATTTTACTTGTACACGGTATCAATATAATCGTTCAAGCCATGATTTTTGTCCAAATAGTCCTAATTATGGAAGGTTATGTTTATTTATCTCTTAGGAATGTGTTTTGGGCTAAAATGCATAAATGTTGTTATATTAGTTGATAACTTTACCATTATTATGACAACCACTCCGTGACCAAATTAATCTCACTTGGCATTCTTGATTTGGCTTTTGGGTGAGCTTATCTGCTATTGACATGAAAAGGTTATGCTTTTTTGAGATATTTCACCATATCGTTGACATAGATAATAATTTGGCCCCTGTGGCACTCCATACGCTGACCAATATTCACTGCCGTAATTTTTATCTATCTTTACCCTGAAGCTACGGCAATATAATTATACCCTACAACATTATGTGTTGTATGTAACACCTCGAAATATTGGTTTCCCACATAGGAAAATATATATGAATCTTCCTATCTCGCCGAGCTGAGTCGATCTAGCTATGTTTGTCCATCCGTCCGTCTGTCCATGTTAATTTGTAATCACTCTACAGCCCGATCTTCACGAAATTTAGATGAAGGTGGGGCTAGGGCCAGAATAGAAGCCTATTGTCTTTGGAAGTGATCGCATAATATTTAGAGGTTGAAATTAACCAAAAACTGAACAATTTCCTGATTTTGCAATTGCTCTATAGGTCGAAATTATAAACCAATCGAAGCGCAAGTTAGCATGAGTCTAAAGCTTGGGGTTGGGCAGAAGTCTTCCAATTTTGATGGTCATTGAGTAATATTTAGTGGGTGCAATAGACCATAACATTTGTGTTAAATGAAAGTAAAATTTTTCATTAAACCGCGAATATTTTCAATACCGGCGAATTCACAAATAGACGAATGGGTCAGTTCTGACCGTTACGTAGATGCCAATAATAAATATATCGGATATATATAGCGAAATATATTCAATGTGTATATACAAAGGAAGGGGATGTTAGCTAGAATGCTTATATCTCAAGAATGGGCTAGGCCTATTGTTTTCAAAGATGTCCGCAATATATTTAGGGGTCCGCAATATATACACAAAAAGTCTAAATTTGGAGATACAGATTCTTTCTTTTGGAGATGATCGCAAAATATTGTGAGGTTCAAATGAACCAAAAACAGAAAAAAATGTAAGGAAAGGGAAGGATTCTAGCATTTTGGATGACCATTGGATTATTTTTAGCTCTAAAATGGACCACAACAACTAACCCTGGTCAAAATGCTAAGAGTAATACCTGGACAGTGTTCCGTGACATAATTTCGAAAGCGAAATCTTCCAAAATGGATGTGGACATAAGGTAGCTTGTAACATATTGTAGTGTTGTAGGGCATCATATGGTTGGCCCCGCACGACTATAGCCTCTGCTTACTTGTTTTGAAAATACCAACGTGTCAAAAGCTTTGGTAAAATCGATAAACATCGCTAAACATTCCTTTTGTTCGCTTATATTTTGGGTTTTTAAGGCAAAGACTTCCCGAAATAATTTCTTCTAATACTTTCTTGAATTTTAAATTGGTGATATAATGCCACTCTTGAATATGTGACGAATTAAAGCATTTATAAGTTATATTAAAATGGGGGCAGTATTTTTGACATTACTTTAAGTTATACTGTCAATTATTACTTTGTTTTTAATACATCTTCGATTGTTTGCTCAAGATACATTATGTTTGGAATATTAGTTCGTATGCAAGGCATGATTTTTATTTCTTATACATGAACAACGTTTGATTTAAATTGTTGTGCGAAATTTTCAGTTATCTCTGAAATATTTTGGTTATAGAAGATGGTTTCGTATACACTAGTTTTGTCCTCAATGATTTGAGTTATCGTCTGTAGTAGGCAGTTTAAGTTCGAAAATTGGCCATGTCGGTCCACGTTTTCGTATAGCCCCATATAACGGTACCTCTGAACATTCAATATTTTGATTATTTTAGCGATATTGTAGTCCGGAATTGTTTCAAATTTGGTATCAAATGAGTAGTACAACCTATGACAAAAAATTACTTATGCAGGTCCACGTTTTCGTATAGGCTGTTAAATATTTTGTAGATTTATTCTTAACTTTTGTTTTTTTTTTTCGATAATAACAAGTTATCTCTAATGTTCTAGCATTTATTTCAGCAATTCGTGTGTCATGCTATGTTCTCATTGCCATTTCAATCACGTTGTTCGCTCTCAGAATTAGGTACACCAATTAACCCGTTCATACGGAACGATTCGTAATTCATAGTAACATAATCCGTTTTTTCGAAAAGTTTGTTGATTTTAATAGGAATTTGTAAGAAAACATATGAAATTCCCATTTTTTTAATATTTTATCAATATTCTACAATATTCATTCATGTTTTGACACTTTCCAGTAATTTTTGCAATTTTTACACCCTACAACACTATGTGTTGGGGGTATTATAAGTTTGATTGGACCAAAAATTATGTAACACCTCGAAATATTGGTTTCCCACATAGGGAAGTATATATGGATCTTCCTATCTCGCCGAGCTGAGTCGATCTAGCTATGTATGTCCGTCCGTCCGTCTGTCCATGTTAATTTGTAATCACTCTACAGGTCGCAATTATGGGCCGGGCCGAAATTTAGAATGTAGGTCGGGATAGGGTCAGAATAGAACCCTATTCTTTTTGGAGATGATCGTATAATATTTAGGGGTTGAAATGGACCAAAAACTGAAAAATTTCCTGATTTTGCAGTTACTCTACAGGTCGGAAAGTTGGCATGGGGCTTGAGCTTAGGGCTTGGCAGAAGTCTTCCAATTTTGATGGTTATTGGGTAATATTTAGTGGGTGAAAAAGACCATAACATTTGTGTTAAATAAAACTCAAATTTTTCATTAAATCGAGAATATTTTTAATCCCAGTGAAATCACAAATAGAGGAACAGGTCAATTCTGACCGTTACGTAGATGCCGATAGTAAATATATCGGATACATTTTTTCATATTTTTTTTTCAATTTGATTTAATATTGAATTGTATATTTTGTAATACTTTTTCACCTTAAAACACAGGTTGGGGTTATTGGGTTATATAAAAATTGCAATTATCGTCCGATCTTCACGAAAATTTTCACAAGGATAGGGTTAGGCTCAGAAGGGCCCATATGTCCCAATATATTTAGGGGTTAAAATGGACCAAAAACAGAAAAAAATTCCTGATTATACACTTGAAGCAAATCGACACGCCTGAGAGGGGAGTTAAGGACAGGGAAGGAAATATTGGGCAAATGTCCCTGTTCAAACTGCTAGGGGTAATATCTGGGCGGTGCTCCGTGACATAATTTCAAAAGCGAAATCTTCCAAAATGGATTTGGACATAAAGGTTCTTCTAACATATTGTAGTGTTGTAGGGTATCACATGGTCGGCCACGCACGACTATAGCCTTTGCTTACTTGTTTTTAATATATTTTTCAGTTTCAGTTTTTATTGCTGAAGAGAAACTAGTCAATCTATTTTTTGTCGATTCTTTGAAAATAGTGCCTCTTGTGTTTCCAGCTTTCTACAAATATTCCAACTCTTGGACAAAAAGCGTACCTCAGATGAGGGAGAAAACAAAATGTACTTTCGTTTGAATGTTCAAACGCCATTCAACATTATAATTTTCATTCATAATTTTCAGTCTTCCTGAAAAATTTGAAAATTTCATAAAATCTTTCTATTTTAAATTTTTAAATGTCATAATTTATTTTTTTGATATATGCTCTCATTTGTTAAAAATTGCACATATTTCATCTTTGTTCCACAGCAAATTTTATGTGGGGAATTAAGAAGATATTTAATAATCAATGGTCGAACAATGAATAGAGAACTAATCAAGTGTCATGTGAACTTAGCATTATTTTGTTTTTATACCCTCCACCATTTTATGTAGGGTATATTAACTTTGTCATTTCGTTTGTAACTCCTCGAAATATTTATAAAAGACCCTACAAAGTATATATATTCTGGATCAGCGTAAAATTCTAAGACGATCTAGCGATGTCCGCCTGTCTGTCTGTTGTAATCACGCTATCTTTCGAACGAATTGAGATAGAGGGCTAAGTTCGTAGGCAGGTTAAGTTCATAATTGGGCCATGTCTGTCCACGTTTTCTTATAGCCCCCAATAAAAAGGCATCTCCCGATATTCGGTATTTTCATGATTTAAGCGACATTATTTACCGGAATTATTTCAAATTTCGTATTTGAAGTTCGTAATGGACACTACAGCCTATGACAAATATTTTTGTATGCTAGAAAAAAATTGTATGCTGGTCCACGTCTTCGTATTGCCCCTATATAACTGTACCTCCCGATATTCTATATTTTCATGATTTTAGCGATATTATTTACTGGAAATTTTTAAATTTTCGTATTTGAAGAAGGTGCTACAGGCTATGACAAAAATTTTTGTATACCGGTCCACGTCTTCATATAGCCCCCATATGACGGTACTACTCGGTATTTTATGATTTGTGCGACATTATTCATCGGAATTGTAACAAATTTCGTATTAAAATTTTGTAATGGCCTATGATAAAAAATGCGTATGTAGGTTCGTATATCCTCTATATAACAGTGCATCCCAATATTCGGAATTTTGATGATTTTAGCGACTTTATTCACCGGAGTTGTTTCAAATTTGGTATTTGAAGTTCGTAATGGGTACTACAGCCAATGACAAAAATTTTCGTAAGCAGGTTCACCTCTTCGTATAGTCTCTATATAACAATTTTCATTTAAGTAGTATTTTCGGGAAGTTTTTTTGAAATTTTCGATTGGATTATCCCTTTTTACCAACTTTTTATTATTAATGTTAATTTTGAGCTCTATTATGAAAAATCTTCCTATAAACGGTATCACAGACAATCAAATTATTCTACAAAATTATTTGTCATAAAATTCTACTAAGACCCTACAAGGCGTCTAGATCATACTTCTTACCTGAACGCCAGGACTTCATATATTTAAAAGACGTACTTTTTGTGAGTTTGTTCAAAAATCTGCAACAAAGTAAAAAGTCTATATTTCGTAGCGATTGTATTTAACACTACGACATGCATTTATTGTACCTTTCGCAATTTAAAAAGGAAAATTCCCTCCAGGATTGATAACAGACAATTAAAATTAAGAAAGAAATTTAAATATATATAATTATAAGGTAATTGTGGTTGGGAAGGCAAGAAAAAAAGTAGTAGAAATTAAAGGTTTGTATTATCAAAGTGGGATTTGCATGTTTCATACAAGTTCAATTTAAAAAGAAGCATTTATCCAAGTATTAATTTATTTTTACTAGATTACTATCACAAAAAAAATAATATTTGAAAAGTCAACAACAACGAACCTTCGCTCTACAATTTTTCAGATTAATGAGAGCTATGAGTGAGCACACTCGGCTAAATCCGAATAGACGCATTGATCGCTTGCGAACATTCAATACACGACTCCAGAATTCGAAGGAAAGCATGGATGTATTGGCGTCATGGAATATGCAACTAGACAAACACTTGGTTGAAATTCCAGGACGAGTACTTCCACCCGAAAAGATTGTTTTTGGAAACCAAAAAAAATACATTTGTGATCAAAACGCTGATTGGTCAAGAGAATTTAGAAGCACAACCATGTTTTCCCACGTTGACATAAAACGTTGGTATGTCATCGTAGCAAGACGTAATATACGTGAAGTTCAAGAATTTGTTAAACTTTGCATTCGGGCTGCTGGATCGATGAAGATGCATATCTCTGAACCAAGATAGTAAGTACCACGTAAAATGTTCACCATAATGCTGTTTTGTTGCAAAATGGTCAGGCTAAATCCCTTTATTGTTGTTTTTATAAAAACAACGTTTGTTTATTAGTGGAGAATGATGGTAATGTTTACCAGGGGGTAAGGCTGGAAATACTAATGTTTCAGAAAGAGCCTCCAATCCTCATCAGTTCCCTTGTTTTTGTCTGGGAGTTATTTTAAAAATAACTCCTATGATAAAAAACTTTTATTACCCAAGTGACGAGATCGTAAACCTAATAGAAGAGGAAATTCCAAAATTATTTTGGAAAATCTAAATCTTACAACCGCACTTATAAACATTTTCATCTTTCTCCATTTGTTATGCTTTCGTTTTACATGAATGAAGTAGCATAACCATGTGAGTTTGTTTTGTCTGTTACAAATAAATTTTAATTGTTTATTTCGTTTAAGTGAGGAAATGCCTGATGATAGAAATGGATCATACTCTTCTGCAATAGACAGAACTACATCCCAGGATCCTCAAATATTGATGTTGGTCCTAACAAACAACAATGAAGAAAAGTAAGTAAAGTTATATCATATGTTAAATAGCTATGTCGCCTTCACCATTACCTGTATCATGAAATTTTTTTTTCGTTAAGGTATGCTTGCATAAAGAAGAAATGTTGTGTTGATAGGCCGGTCCCATCACAAGTCGTTACACTAAGAACAATTGCACCACGTGGTGATAAATCATCAGGCTTAATGTCGATTGCAACTAAAGTCGTTATTCAAATGAATGCAAAGTTAATGGGCGCTCCTTGGATGATAGAGATGCCATTGAGTGGACTAATGACCGTTGGATTTGATGTTTGCCATTCTGCCAAAGAAAAAAATAAATCATATGGTGCTCTAGTGGCTACGATGGATATGAAAGTATCAACCAAATATTATTCAGCGGTCACACAACATCTAAAGGGACAGGAACTTTCCAACGAAATATCATTAAACATGACTTGTGCGTTGAAGTCATATCGCGCTGTTCACGGAACTTTGCCGGAGCGAATACTCTTTTATCGTGATGGTGTCGGTGATGGACAACTGCATCAGGTGTTTAACACTGAGGTACAGTTTCTTAAAAAGAAGTTGGACGAAATTTACAAATCTGCTGGTATCGAAAAGGGATGTCGTCTAGCATTTGTCGTTGTATCTAAACGTATAAATACTCGTTACTTCGTCAATGGCCGAAATCCTGATCCAGGCACTGTTGTCGATGATGTCATCACACTTCCCGAACGTTACGATTTTTTCCTCGTTTCGCAATCCGTACGACAGGGGACAGTGTCTCCGACTAGCTACAATGTAATACATGACAATATGGGTCTAAGTGCGGATAGAATGCAAATGTTGACTTACAAAATGACACATTTGTATTACAATTGGTCAGGAACGTTGCGTGTGCCAGCAGTTTGTCAATATGCCCACAAACTGGCATTCCTTGTTGCCGAGAGTATTCACCGTGCTCCAAGCAATGGTTTAGAAAATCAATTATATTTTCTCTGAATAACAATATCAAATGAATTAAAATGCAAAGTGCCTATATATAAAATACGAATAAGGTTAAGCTTTTCTACTTCAACTCATGACTATATTTTTTACCAAATGAATACAATTTTACCAATGATATATAATACAACTAAGTTCCTCTCATTCCACAATTGATAATCATATTTTTGCTTAAAATAAATACTTTATTTGTGTACCTATTGTTTGAAATCTGCAAATAACCTAAGTGTATTAAATATACCAATAACAGTCTTGTTGTTATTCTGTTTCTTTTTGTTGCAACGACGGAAATTTAATGTTAAGAAGTAACATAATTACTTACAACTATATACGACGTAATACAAATATATCTTTACTAGAAGGTGCAGAATTACAATACCTCTTAACCCATAACAGAATAAAGTTAATAATCCTCTTGTCCCTTTGTTTAGTACCGTTTTCCATTGCTATTGAACAAAGTGTAAAATACCTTTAATGGATTTACTATACCCTTTTCATGCACTGAAGTTTTGTTTTTGTATGAATAACTGTACCTAAGGGAAAAATCAAATTATTTTTGTATTGCATAATACCGAATGAAGTCAAAAAAATGAATTATACGTTATTTTTATATTTTAATATGTACTTATTGTTTTAATTGTATAACAATGAATTTGAAATAATAAAAAGGTTAACAATGAATCTTCTATGTAATTAAAAGGTGTAATTTTAAGTGAAGTGAGGATTTGGAGAATATGAGATGAACTGTCTCTGTTTATGACGAGGTAGTAGTTTAAATTCAGAGTATGGGCGAAGGAGTTGAGCGTAACAAAAGGATACATAAAATACTATACTCGTCCAAGGCCTATAACCATCCATCACACTGTCAAAATTTTTAAAAATTTACAATTACATGCCTTTTGATGATGAGAAAATCAGCTGGTCTTATTGTATTGCCCATGGCCCAATTATTAGACCCCCTTCCGAGCCAGCTGTCTAACCAAATCACACAAGATAAACAAGTGGCCAACAAATTTAGTCTATCTTACAACTAAGTTTGTTGTCAAAATACATAATTGTGACATGAAGTTTAAAGAAAGTTAAATCACAGTAATTTGAAAATAACTATGTTTATATTCAATTTTTTCTCGGAATTTGTTTCCTTTTCAATAATTCGCCATCGCCAATCTGTTCACGGGGAAATGTGGCAACTTCGAAACAAATTCCCCCCATCGAGAACGCTATTTTAGAGGAATTTTGTCCGCCATTTTCTTTTTATACCCTTCACTATATTATGCAGGGTATTTTAAGTTTGTCATTCAGTTTGCAACACCTCGAAATATACATTTTAGGCCCCACAAAGTAAATATATTCTTGATCAGCCTAAAATTCTATTTCGATTTAGCGATGTTCGTCCCTCTATGGAAATCACACTGGCTTCCGAACGAAATGAAGTAGATTGATAACATTTTTTTATACCCTCCACCATACTATGGAGGGTATATTAACTTTGTCATTCCGTTATCATACCTCCTCGAAATACTCATGTCAAACCCAACAAAGTATATACACTGGTGGCCAAAACTAAAGCAACTGAAATTACAAGGAGAATGAATTCCCTGTAACTTTTTTAAAATGTAAGAAAATGAGAAAGTTTTTCTTGTTTTAAATTTTTTTATTCATTTTTAAAAACCTAAAATTCAAAACATCAAAATTCATTTTTATATAAAAAAAATAATGTATGGTAAAGTCAATTAATCCGATTTTGGCTTGGATAAAATAAAAGCAACTCTGTTGTACATTCAGATGATCGCTGCAATTTCTGTTATATTTATCGCTTTTTGCTTCCTTCGCTTGTCATAAACCCTTTTTGAGAAGTTTTTTACAACAGCAAGTATTTACTTTTCGTTTTTTAAGTACTGCCCAAAAAAGTTTAATAATGGCATGAATAAAATAGCAAATTATCAGTGACTATGAAAACATAATATCACAGAAAATGATTTCCGACAAATATTTCATAAATATTTCTGTAATTTCATAAATATTTCTGTATACTAAGTCGGTCTTATGAAACTGGATCAGTAGTAACATTCTATAACGGATGAAGGCAGTGAAAAACTTCAGCCCGTACTGATCAACAAATTGTGAGAGAAATAAAAAAACAACCATTTAAGAGTTCAACTGGATTGGTGAGAGATATAAACTCGGATATAAACTCGAGATCAGTGCGTAGACTAATAGTGGTAGCTGGTCTGCATGCCCGTAAGCCATCAAAAAAGCCATTTATATCTGAAAAAATCAGAAAGTCTTTCGGAAACGATAGTATTAAGTGGAATCGAGCTCAATGGAAAAACATTATTTCTGGGATGAGTCTACGATTAATATTAAAAGCTCAGACGTGAATAATTTTACGGTGAGAAGACTAAAAAATGAGCCGCAGTGTCGCAAAAGTACAGTGAAGTATGAGGGAGGGTCAAAAATGGCGTGGCGCTGTTTGTCTTTCTATGGACTTGGGCCTATCCATGAAATAAAGGAAGTTATGGATCGGTTTGTTTACAAAGATGTGTTGGACATCACGTTGTTCCCTTACGCTGAGTAAAATATTCGGCTCATTTGGGCGCTTCAGCATGACAATGATCCCAAACTTGCATCAAAACTTGTCAAATATTGGTTACGGGAGTCAAAAATTGATGTTTTGTCATGGCCGGCACAATCACCTGACCTAAACTCCATAGAAAACCTTTGGAGTATCGTAGACAGGAAGATCAAGCGAGATTCGGAAATAAATAAGCACAACATTTTCCAAAGAATTCGGGGTGCCTAGGAAAGCATACCCATGGATCAAAATGAGCGTGTTATAGATTCTATGCCTCGGAGGCTGCTATCAAAAATAATGGATGCTATCGACTAATATCCAAAAATTAATTATTTTAAAATAAAAAATCAAAAAGTTGCTTTATTTTTGACCAAGCAAAAATTAGGCCATTTTAATTTTTCATATTTTTTGTTCAAATTTTTTTTTTTGTATTTTTATACCCTCCACCATACTATGGAGGGTATATTAACTTTGTCATTCCGTTTGTAACTCCTCGAAATATTCATGTCAGACCCAACGAAGTATATATATTCTTGATCAGCGTAAAATTCTAAGTCGATTTAGCGATGTCCGTCTGTCTGTTGTAATCACGCTATCTTTCGAATTAATTGAGATAGATGTCTAAAATTTTGCACACATGTTTATTTTTCCAGTAGGCAGGTTAAGTTCGTAAATGGGCCATGTAGGTCCACATTTTCATATAGCCCCCATATAACGGTACCTCCCTATATTCGGTATTTTGATGATTTTAGGGACATTATTCACCGGAATTGTTTCAAATTTGGTATTTGAAGTTCGAAATGTATACTACTTCCTGAGACAGAAAATTGTCTGTGCAAGTCCATGTCTTCGTATAGCCCCCTGTAAACCGGGATCAATTAAAAGACGCAAAGTCTTTTCCGTTTGAACGTTTGTAAGACACTAAATTTATTTATTAAAAATATTTCTTAATTCCTACTTATTATAATATAACTTAACCTAAATTATCGATAAGGGCAAACGAGAGAGAGAGTGAGATAGATACCAATTGTACACATGCATATGCACCATGCCACTATAAACCTTAGGAGGAGGTCATAAACACGCATAACTATCTCACATGTGGCAAGCAAACATGCTGCACTTGCTTATCAGTCTGAGTAAAGATTACATCCCATAATCTAACTCCACCATACCACATGCAGCAATTGAAAATTCTGTATTATTTATTTCTATCTCGAAGGTCTGCTCACCACATTTTCTTATCTTATTTAATGTGGACTGTATTAAGAAGATCCCAGTTTAACAAATCCCTCTCATCTACATTAGGCAGCCCGGCTATTCTCTTTTATTATAAAAACATGTTCACTTATCCGTGAACATTCTTGGCAGGGGCAAAAATACATATAAAATATAAAAATTACAAAGATGAACAATAAAATAGATCTAATAGAATTGACATTTTAAGAGAAAAGATGTTAAGTTATAGCACCCAAGTAAATCCTCCATCTTTCCAGCCTGTCTCTCTTGAACATCCCACCTCCTTTATCTGCCGGCTTCAATTTCCAAGCCGAATCCTTTTTATCTGTCGTCTTCTTTCTGTAACCAAAGTTCTCATCCTTCTCTGGAAGCGCTATCTCACCGACCTTGGACAGTTTATCGTTCCAGCTTTCATAATTTTCTGTCACTTCGGCTTGTATTTTATTTTATTGCACCACTTCCACTAGGCATCTTCATTACAACTTCACATTCTTCCAGCATCTTATTATTCCAACGACGCAGATCGCTTTTCTTCTTAGTCTTCATCTCGCTGGCAAGCAGCTTATTTTCGACTTCTTCCAACCTCCCTCTGTCCAGTTTTCCAGGGAGGTCTTCCATATAAACCTCTTCAACCATCAGATCTTCGTTGATATTAACCGCTAATTTTGCAGCCAATTCATCAGCCTCGATTTTGGATGTTTTCTGCGATATGAGCAATTCTACTTTTAGTTGCAATATATCAGCTTCCAGCAGAAATATCCTTCTATCTTTCTCTTCACCAGCTTCTAGATTTGCAGCCAACCCGTCACGTTCGGTTGAAGCTGCAAGTCGTTCTCTTTTTGCACAAGACAACTCATCACTAAGTTGTCTTATTACCGCCTTCAAAGACTTGCTCTTGCGTTCCGCCTCCTGCTTAGCTGCTAGTAATTTACCCTTAGTATCCTCGGCAACACACATAGCATTTTCAACTTCCTCCTTCGAACTCGAGAAAAGTTTAAGGGCATCTTCCTTTTCATTTTTCTGTGAAATCAAGGCAACCTCCATTTCCTTATATCACCTTAAATTTTTCTCATTCCGGCTACCGCTACCTTTCGCTCGTTGTCCAATTCGGATGTTATGTAGGCCATTTGTTTCTTAAAGCCAAGGACTTTCTCTGTGGTCTCCACATTAAAAGCCTGCGTGACTTTAAGGATGGCCTTAACATCTTCCGAATACAGCCTCGCTGTCGCATTCGGCTGACTTGCTCTGATAGCAGCGGCTAGTTAGGACTTCTTTAGAAGCATCTCTAAAAACCGCCTATGAACGCCTGTACATAATATTACGTCTCTTGCCGCGTCCATAATTTTTTCTTTGGCGAAGTCAAATACGCCTTCTATGGCTTCTTCCGTCTTTAATGGACTCATTATTTCCATAATTGTACCCATCATTTCGAGAAGAGTGGCAGCCTCTTCCTTTATTTTCATCATTGGCGGCCATTTCACCGATTCGCCCTCCTGGAGATTCGTCCTTCTGTATGGGAACAATTCCAGCTGTAGTTTTTGCTCGGTAATTTTCCACTCTTGAAGACCAATTTTAGCCTGACAGAATTTCCTCGATGTTAAGGAAAATTCTTCAACATTTATCCTTTACCGATCCGGTTCGAAGGACCAATGTAACTGGGATCATTAATTAAAAGACGCAAAGTCTTTTCCGTTTGAGCGTTTGTAAGACACTAAATTTATTTATTAAAAATATTTCTTAATAACTACTTATTATAATATGACTTAACCTAAATTATCATTAAGGGTAAACGAGAGAGAGAGAGAGATAGATACCAATTGTAGGAGAAGGTCATAAACACGCATAACTATCTCACATGTGGCAAGCA